GTGCGTTACTTGTAAACTCAAAAAGTAGAACTACTTAACTGAAAAATTTCCAACGCTTGGTCTGTGCGTTACTTGTAAACTCAAAAAGTAGAACTACTTAACTGAAAACAAATTTCCACCGCTTGGCCGGTGCGTTACTCGTAAACTCAAAAAGTAGAACTACTTAACTGAAAAATTTCCACCGCTTGGCCTGTGCGTTACTTGTAAACTCACAAAGTAGAACTGCTTAACTGAAAACAAATTTCCACCGCTTGGCCGGTGCGTTACTTGTAAACTCAAAAAGTATCGCTCGACCTGACTCTCTCTTGCCTATCCCTCAACTCTGATATACACTCTCAGTAAAATCCCTAGGAGCAAGATTGAAATGACCCCCAGGAGCAAGAGCCCACGCCACAGCACCAACTGTCTCCCGGTCATCCTAGCGTCTTGGCTCATTTGCAGATCCAATGGAGTCTCGTCTCTTTGTACAACAGCTCTCCTTAACACTCTTCGCTGGTTCCTTGGGACCACCGCTGAAGGGAAAAAAGGAACTTAGTGAGAAGAGTAAAAGGATATTTTTTTTATTAGTATAAAAGATGTCCTATGTGTATGTTACTAGCCGGGGGAAAGTTTATTGAGGAAGCAGTTGCTGCCTTGGATACACAAAAGAATACTATCTCAGAGTGCCTCTCCATTCACCGATCACAAACTCCGGAGCCTGCTATTGTGAGCTTAGGTCTACCAGGGAGCTCTGCCTCACCACAAGAACTAGAGGAATAAATACAGTGACCCTCTAGTTAAGATTCATAGGGCAAGTTTTCAAGGGGCCAACACTCCTCTAATTAACAGTTCAGAAGGAGAACAAGGCCAACGGAGGAGAAAAATCACCTAAGAGATCATTCAAGGCCATTCACAGAACTGAAGAGAGATGTGAATCTTCACATCAGGGGGCCTACTAAGCATCCAGCAAGGGTGTGACTCAGATGTAGATTCCGTCTTCCAATGCTTCAGAGTCGTCAGAATTCAGGAAAATATCCTAAAAGCTTCCCGAGAGAAACGCAAAGGCAGTTGACAGAAAGAACCAAGAATAAGATGGGCATCCGACTTCTTAAACAAGCATAGTGGATACTGGGATGTGCTGATGGCCCTTGGGAGTTGTGAGAGAAAAGCATTTCGAATAGAGTAATTCCAGCTCACTGTCACAAAATGCTTCCTCCATGCCAGGCACTGTTCTCAGCGCTTTACACGTATGAAACTCCCGTAACTCTCACGACAGTGGTATGATGTAACTAGTATTATTACCCCTTTTACAAATGGGAGATGATAGGAAACTTGGACCAACCATCCGCTGAAGACAATTATGAAAGCTGGATAAAACGAATGAAAAATATCATCTTGAAGGTATCAAGAGTACTACCGAAGTAACAAAAAGTCACCAGGGCAAGATCTACGGGAAGCTGGAAACCCAGCAAAGCCAGCCACGTTTGGGGGCCACTTTTGACCTGAGAGTTCTCCATCTGGACCTGAGCAATGCTTTTGGGGGGAGTTTAGTCCTCACCAAGGTAAACCCCTCTGGACCCTAGGCCGGATCTCAGGGGCTGTATCCAAGAATTCAGGACGAACCAGAAGTAAACCAAGCCTCACCCTGGTTGCCTTCAAGTCAGCTGGGGGCTCCAGGAAGCTGTTTCTGAAATTGCCCTAGACTGCTGGTAACCCTAAGTGTTCAACAAAAGCAAAGGAAAATCCTCCCTGAAGACAGACAGACATCACAGGCCTCAAATTACTTCCACCGGCAATTTTCAAATACAAGATCTGGAACACAATCAAAGATAACCAGGCACACAGGGGACCAGACAACATGAACGAAAACTGGCAGGAACAATGGAATTGGCAGCTGGCTGTAACTCAGCCAGTCTGTGAACTCGGTTATAAAGAAGCGAGAAACTAGTGTGAGTACATGACTAACTGCCGAAGGATCTGGAAGTCTGGGGAGATTACAGATTTGACAGAGAGAAAGTGATATACACACTTGCGTGATGGTCACCGGAAGCAACAGTTAAAACAACGATCTGTTTAAGGCCCATCTTTGCCTGGTGAATGGGGGAACCCTATAGACACAGACATACTAATGTCAGTTTCCAAGATAAGGTCAACGCACAGGATCACCGAGTATTAGAGATCCCTTTGGAATGCTTACGTGAGTACTGTTAGGTCAGCCAAGGAACTGGCAACCTGCAGTGTACCTAAAATTGAGTGTTGCGTGACTTTATCATTTGTCCCTGAAACTTTATTTCCCGGGTTCGGGGGGCGCTCATGGCAGCAAATCTAGTGGTGTCCCACAAATGGCCCCTCCTGGACCACCTGGACAGGCCTGTTTCCAAGAGGTGAGAGTTTATTCCATACCTATGTTCTGATAGACTGCAGGCTGGGCCACAGACTGGGTCCTAGTCCGGACCACATTTAGTCTCACATTGGCATGTACCCGAGCCTGGAAAATGAAACTCAAAGTCAATCCACAAAGCATTATTTACCACCGTTATAAATAAAACATTTGACTTGACTACCACCCAGTTTAGGAAAAACCAAGCCATTCTCTGTAACTGACATGTAAGGGGACCTTCTCTGGTTCCCAAGTATGGAATCGTCTTTCAGGATGATTGACGTAAGGTCAATGGTGGGGGGGGGGGGGGGGGGAAGGGGAGCGAGGAAAAAAAACAAGGGGGAAGGCGGGGCCCAAGTTCAGAGGATTCTCCCCTTTTTCCTTCATTTTTGTTTTGTCTACCATCTATTTTCAGACCCCACATTGACCCTAGCAAGCTGGAGACACTCATGTGTGCAGGTATCTTAATGAAATATTTTGGGATCATAGAAAACAGTATCAGGATAAATTGGCTGGCATCCCTCCTTTCTTTCCAGTTTCAAATCTTGTCCTCAAACTGATTTTTCAGGCACACAGGTGGTAGCCTGGCTTGGGATACGAGGAGGAAAGGAACCCCTATTTTTCTGTTTGATAAATAAACAAAAGGGAAATGGATAACTGCAGGGGTATCTGGCCCTTAGCCTGTGAAATAAAGGCAGTTGACACAACAACAAAGCATTGGTGATAAAAGGGGAAAGAACCTTACAAATGAGAGGGAGAGAGCCTGAACAGATTGTTTTCTAGGAGAGGAACTTTTATGGGCCAGCAATGAACATAGTTACCTCTTCACAGGCTTTCTTCCAGTTTAGCTGAGAAATAAAGATGAAAAAGCACAGGCACTGCGTGATCGCACAGATAATGATCCCTGACCACAGACCTAGAAGTGGAAATATTTAATAGAGGTTAATTCCATGGAAAACAGGGCACCCCTGGGGAGTATGTGCCTCCTGTCTCACTTTGAGAATCTGCTTTCACGGCTGCAGTGGAGCCCACAGTGATCCAGACATCCCCTTCCTGCTCTCCTTTGGTTTCCAGAAGGTTCTGAGAGGCCCAGGGCTCCCTGTGGACACTGCCCAGTGCTCTGGGTCTCAGAACTGATGTTCAGACGCTCTTTTTGGCTTTTGTGATCCTAATACTTTGCTAGTAAGAGACATTCAGGTTATAAGGAAATGAAATTCCCAAGACAGACTACTTCCTAAGAGTGCTATGCTTCTGAACAGCTATGGCCTATTTTCCTCAAAAGGGACTAACGTTTTCAAAATGCACAAGTCACCAGCCATGTTAAGTTCCCTCCCTTGGCACTTCCTACAGGCTTACTGGCTTTGGGCACAGACTTCCAGAGCTCCTGGGACAAGGTTGTCCGCAGAGAGATGATCACAGAGAGGCTGAGGGAGAACAGAACACAGGAAAAGCCTCGTGGATCTCAAGGTGCCATCGCACTCTACCTAGTAAACCCACACGGGACACAGAGGGAGACCCCAAGTGAGAAGGGTTTCTTTGGTCAACAGTGAAGTAATGGCAGAATCAGAAAAGCCAACGAGGGCTGTGAGGAACTGAATATGCAAACAGCCAACGGGCAGACCATACGTAAAAACAAAACTCTAGGGGCGCCTGGGCGGCTCAGTCGGCTGAGAGGCTGACTCCGGCTCAGGTCATGATCTCATGGTTCGTGGGTTCAAGCCCCACGTCAGGCTTTGCGTTGACAGCATGGAGCTACCTGCTTCCAATTCTCTGTCTCCCTCCCTCTCTGCCCCTCCCCGATTCACACACTGTCTCTCTCTCTCTCTCTCTCTCAAAAATAAATATCGGGGCGCCTGGGTGGCGCAGTCGGTTAAGCGTCCGACTTCAGCTCAGGTCACGATCTCGCGGTCCGTGAGTTCGAGCCCCGCGTCGGGCTCTGGGCTGATGGCTCAGAGCCTGGAGCCTGTTTCCGATTCTGTTGTCTCCCTCTCTCTCTGCCCCTCCCCCGTTCATGCTCTGTCTCTCTCTGTCCCAAAAATAAATAAAACGTTGAAAAAATAAATAAATAAATGAATATTAAAAAAAAAAAAAAAATAGAGCTCTGATCCACAGCCTACAGCAACCTGTCCAGAAACCAAGCCCTTACCTACAATAAACCCGAAAAGCCAGTTGGTTACATGTCAAACTCTGGGAATAATCCAGGGTGCTACGTAACAACTTCTGCAACAACTGACCCAAAATGGCCAGGACTTGATCGATAATTGACACGTTCCCTAAGTTCTGTCCCTGCTTCCAACTTAGGGCCAGCCAGAGAAAAGCAAACACGCCCTCCCCCCTGCCCCCACCAATCCCACAGGATGCCCCGATTCTCTTGTTAGCCCGCCTCCGGCTTCCCCGGGACATGAGCGCACACCTGAGACCTCTCTTAGTTTCCCTGTAGAGTTCTCCCACCCCTCTGCCCGCCTCTGGGTCTCTGCCCAAACTCCGGTGGTGGTGGCTGACTCCCTTGCTAGAGCAAACTCAGAATAATGGCCTTTGTTTTTCGCATTTGGTTGGTCTCCACGTCCACAGCTCATCACGGAGGCCCCGCAAGACCTGGCCTACACTGCCTAACACCACGGACCCCAGCCTCCAACCCGATGTGGTACCCACAGAGGCCCCTTGTGCCTGCCGGCCTGTGGCGTGTGCAGTCCTTGACGATGTGAGTTCGGGCCAGACCTGCGCCCCAATCTCTTTACAATGAGCTCCTCGGCTCAGTACCCAGGTTTTGTCCCTGGCTCCCATTCGTTTGGCATCTTGGGTGGAATCAGGCCATTCCTTTTCATCCCTCTTGCTGTGTTTTGTGGTGCTGTGTAAAGTGTTGTCTGTCACAGAGGGACAGTTAGAGGCCAGAACACAGGCACAGGCCCTAGAAGCCCGCCGCGTGTGCTGATCTCACGGACCCACGAGGAGTTTGTGGTTCTCAACCCAACTGGCATCCACTGGGACACACTTTTCTGCAGGTCACCACTAAGACCAGATGAGGCTCTCCTGTCACAGTTTTGTGTCCTGAGGCCTTGGCTTTGATCCAGGGAGCTTTCTTTTTGGGTTTCCGCCCGCCCGTTCGAAGCCCCTTCTAACCGCCGTGTGGGCGTCGGAGAAGGTGCTCGATGTCACAACCCTTTCGTCTCCTTTTGTCAATGAGAAAACTAACACTGAAATTGGAAAGTGAAGATGAACACAGAACTTGGTAGGAAACGTAACCCTTTCGCTGACCTACAACACATGGGAGGACCATTTTGAAAAAGGACTTTGGGACAAAAATGAGCCAAGACCCCAAGTCTCTTTGGGACCTGCAAGAGAGACAGCTGGATGGCCGCCCCCCGCCCCCACCCCGGCCAACCTCCAACTACAAGGACACTTGCAGATACTGTAAACAGAAGGGATGCCAGGAAGGGAAAACCCAAGACCAAGAAAACTCTCTCGTTTCAGGTCAGTGAGTGCTTGCGGAAGGCAAAATCACCCACTATCCCGCCAGGCCCTTCAACACTCCAGGTGAATTCACCGTAAATAGAGACGGCCATCCTCATCAATGCCTGGCAGATGCCCCGCTTTCTACAAGCAGCCCCGGCACCTTACCCAACCTCTGTCTCAGGGTACACATACTGCACAGGTGGTTGGTATTTCAAGTGACCCACAGGTTTTCCCAATCTCCCGGTCTTCCCCCCCCCCACCAAGTTTATTTATTTTGAGAGAGCGAGCACAAGCCAGGGAGAGAGAGAGAGAAAAAATCCCAAGCAGGCTCTGCACTGTCAGCGCAGAGCCCGACGCGGGGCTCAAAACTCACGAACCGCAAGATCATGACCTCAGCCGAAAGCAAGAGTCAGACGCTTCGGATTCCATGCTGAGAGCTCAGCCTGGAGCCTGCTTCGGATTCTGTGTCTCTCTCTCTCTCTCTCTCTCTCTCTCTCTCTGCCCACCCCACCCTCACTCTCGCTCTGTCGGTCAAAAATAAATAAGCATTTAAAAACTTTAAAAAAAAGAGGCACTAATCCGACTGAGCCACCCAGGCACCCCCGCCAATTATCCCAGTCTTTAACCGTAACCCTGAAGCCCTTGACTGAGAAGCGCAGCTTCCTGCTCGATGCTACCACCCCTGCAAATTTCACAGGGGGAGCCTTCCTCCGCAGGCGGAACCGTGATATCAAATGCATACCAGAGATCTGAGCGGACTCCTCTATTTATGGTCAAATTCGGTCTGCTCAGGGTGCACACCTAGCTTCCTGTATTTGACACAGACCCCAGACAAGGACCTTGACACTATGCCTGACATTCCATGGCCTTGGTTACTGTACTGACACAGCCAAAGGATTGGAGCAGGACCCCTAAAAGTTCAGACTGCTCCTACCAAGTGTTACCTAAACTTCCCCAGCATCCCTTGAAGGCAAATGAAGGGATTCAAACCTAGCGCTGAAAAGTCACACCCAGAGGTCTTTCCATACCCTGGACTGGCCCTTAGAACTGTCACTAAAAAAAAAAAAAAAAAAAGTCAAATGCATGAGGATATCTTTACTCAAGACTTCAGGGCCATCAACAAAATTGTTATCCCTCGCTCACCACAAATACCTGACCCAGTAACCATCCTGACATCGACCCCTCCTGAAGCCACTCGCTTTACTGTAGTGATGAGTCTTTGTTCTGCTCTGTTCAGCGAGCCTCTACATGGGGACAGCCGATACCCCTTTCCTTCACCAGCCGAGGAAAACAGTGTGTCTGCACAGTCACGAGCTAGGAGGGCCACTGAATCCCCCCCACCCCCCTCAATTTTTCTCAGTTCCTTAATCGAGAATTTTAAAAATCGGGGCACCTGGGTGGCTCAGTCCGTTGACTACCTGACTCGATTTTGGCTCACGTTAGGATCCCAGGGTCGTGGTCTGGAGCCCTGCATCAGGCTCCTTGCTGGGGATTCTCTCGCTCTCCCTCTGCCCCTCTCCCCATTTGCACTCCCTCGCTCTAAAATTTAAAAAATTTTTTTTTTCTAATTTAAAAAAATTTTCAAAATGTACATTTCCCTTGTGATTCTTTTTTTTGCCTTTTTTTAAATCACAGCAGGATTCATTCATTCATTCATTCATGAGACAGAGGAAGAAAGCACGTGAGCGAGGGAGAGGGGCAGAGAGAGAGAAAGATCATCTTTTTTTTTTTCCTCTTGAGAGAGAGGGCACAAGTAAGCAAGAGGCAGAGAGGTAGGGAGAGAGAGAGATCCCATGACAGGCAGAGAGGGAGAGAAAAGAGAGAAGCGGGGCTCGCCTGAAGCAGGGCTCAAACTCACCCAAAGTGGGGTCCAAGCTCGCCCTCTGAGGGACTCGAACTCACAAACCGTGAGATCGTGACCTGAGCCGAAGTCAGATGCTTAACCAACTGAGCCACCCAGGCGCCCTCTTATGATTCATTTCTGATACATGATGCATCAGCACTCCTACTTTGTGCGGAGAATGAGGAAGTGCACGTAAAACATTCTGTTTTCTTGTTCTCAGCCTTGGCAGAAAATAGACATCGTTTCAAAAGCACAATCACAATTTTGCCACAACACAGTTCATTTAGGGTATGACCTATCCAGGATTTCTGGGTTTAACTGGACATTGCAAACCACGGGAGCCAAATTTTTCTGAGCTTGCAACACCTCTCTATGAATAGACTTGTCCATAGAGACAGACCCTGTGCTCAGGAGGCCCCAACACGAACAGGCTTCTGAAACCTAGAAGGCTCCTCAGCAGGCCTCCTTCCCACCCAGGCATCCCCAACTACAAAAAACTACTTTGTCTCTCTGTGCCCATAATCTCAAAGTTCATGAGTTAGAGCCCTGTGTTGGGGTCTGTGCCGACAGCTCAGCTCGGAGCCTGGAGCCTGCTCTGGATTCTGTGTCTCCCTCTCTCTCTCTCTCTGCCCCTCCCCTGCTCATGCTGTGTCTCTCAAAAATAAACAAACTTTAAAGAAAAATAATAAAACAATAAAATATCAGACTGCAGTCCTCTACCCGAGGTAAAACATCAGCCCAGATGGCAGACCCTACTGTGATTCCCAAATTACGTCACCAGCAAAGACCAGAGACTAGACATATATGTGGACGGCAGACTGATGCTGTGGGAGAAGCCCTTGCCTGATGTGGGGCTGTTCTGGAAACAGAGAGGGTTTCTCACCTCTGCCGGAGCCCCTATCACAGATAGAAAGCAAGTGAAGAAACCTTTAAACTCACTTCCGTCTTCCAGAGAGGCAGCCTTTGTAAAGATGGAGACCCACAGAGAACAAGAGAATGCAGAAGCCAAAAGGAGACCCTCGCAGGTCATTGAGCCAAGCAAGCCACTTTAACCAGGTTCTGATCCTGTCCGAGCCCTCAAAAGAAAGATCTCTGGAGGGTTCAAAGAGGCCCTTGTAAAAGACCAGTGTTTAGCCTCCAGTTTTGAAAAGACGAATGGAAAATACATCTGGTTGCACACCCATCACTCAGGGAATCTCGGGCACCATCAAGATGGCCCCTCAACAGCACAAGATGATTTCAAATGGATGTTAGCGAAGTTTCTCCACGAAATTATTCATCATCATCACGGAGTAGACAGGTTGCTTAGCATCTGAAATCAACATTGGTGGGGAAACTTTAAAAAAATAGCTAAGGTTTTTTTCAGGTCACGTGTCACTCGTCACCAACATAATCCTGGAGAAACCGTGAAGGTCGACGTCGCCGGGAACCAGGCCTCAAGGGACCTTTGAACACCTACAGATGGATTTTGTCCAGCTTGTATCCTCCCTAGGATTTAAATACGTTTTAGTTACCGGTTGTCTATTTTCAGGATAGATGACGCATTTCCTTGCTGAAAAGCTACAGCCCTTACCATCACTAAAAAGCTGCCTGACTTTGTTATTTCCAACCTGATGTCTCCGGTTTTATAGGTCTCAGATGGCAAGTTTTATACCAAGTGACTGAGGCACGTGCTTTATGGGAGCCATATAAAAGAACTCTGTAAAATATTACTCCTTACTCAAAACACTATGCTGTCCTCATCACCCACAATCTCCTGGAAAAGTAGAAAGGACCAACGTCATCCTTAAACATCCTTAAATTCTGAAAGAATTAGGACACTGGAAGGCCTGTGTCTAGGGATTTCGCCACCAATACCAGCCTGACCACACTGATGGGCTACATGCAAAGTATCACCAGGGTCCTACCGCCAACAGCTTAAGGCTGCCTTCCCACAACATCGTCCTGTAAACAGCTTCTCCACCATCTTTAGCCAGAAGATTCCATCTACCGGAAGAGAGAGCAGGAAAAACTGCTCCTGAACTTTGTTGGAAGGGACCCTTTTCAATGGTTGGGACGCTGGTTGGTTGCGTTTTTTCCCAAGTCTTGAATGGTTCTGCACAATCGCTCACCATGATGGTCATCACGACGGTACACCATCAAGGAGCTCAAGATCTTGCAATACAGTGGACTATGAAGAGGACTGTACAATCCCCAAGTGGTAAGACCTGGCTCCCTAGCTTTCCCTGAATTCCCCTTGTCTCTAATTTTCCCTGAAAAAGAGGAGACTGAGACACTGAATATACGATGGCCACACCACGTATCAAAGTAGAACTCTGACCCACAACCTGCAGCAACAGAGCCAGGAAAACCCCTTATCCACAATAAACAACCGAAAAGCCAGCCAGTTCCACATCAGACTTGCAGAAGGCCAGATAGCTATCCCTAGGGACACTCCAGGACGCTAAACAGTAACTTCTGCAACAGCTGACCCAAAATGGCCAGGATTTGACTTAAGAACTGACAGCTTCCCTAATTTTTGTCCCTGCTTCCCACTCAGAACCAAGCAGAGAAAAGCAAACACGCACCCCTGACCAATTGCACAGGATGCTCCACGTCTACTTGGCCTGCTTCCAGCTCTCCCAGGCCACCGGCGTCCATCAGGGGACACCCGAAGCGTGCCCCTTTCCCCCCCCCCACCCCCGCCACAAAACCTTCCCAACTCCTCTGCCTGCCTTTGGATCTCTGCCCGAACTCCAGTGATGCTGGCCCCGGCCTTGCTACAGCAAGCTCAGAATTAACGGCCTTTGCTTTTCCTTTTTGGTTGGTCCACAGCCATCTAGATCTGGGTAAGGGCAAGGTGGCCAGACTGGGCTCGTGATTGACAGGTGCAGATAGCCAGACTTGGTGCAGAGTTTACAGTTCTGCTCCCGTCGACACCAGTCACCCTCGTATCACGTTTCAGGTGGGATCAGCCCAATGTTTACTTTTATTTATTTACTTATTTATTTTCATGTTTATTTTTGAGAGAGAGAAAGAGAGAGAGCACTCACGGGAGGAGCAGAGAGAGAGGGAGACAGAGGATCTGAAGCAGGCTCCACGCTGATAGCAGCGAGCCCGATGCAGGGCTCGGACTCACAAACCATGAGATCGTGACCCGAGCCAAAGTTGGACACTCAACTGACTGAGCTACCCAGGCGCTCCCAGCCCAATATCTAGAAGAGTAAAGTTGATGACCACCTGCCATTCCTATAATGGACTAATAAAAACCAAATACATACAGGATGGCTTTCTCTTCCAAATCCAGTTGTTCCCAAGCCACAAAAACTACAAGCTTACCCTAACCATCCTAAACAGGAAATAACCAGCTATCTCCAGCTGTAATTGGAAAGTTACGAGTTAGAGTTCCAGGAATTTCACCCCACACCATTTAAAAGACTTCTGTTTGACTCAACCCCGGAACCCCGAAACACGATGATGATCAGAATCCCCTAGGTAAGACCCAGGAATAGGTGTATTCGAAAAGCCTCACAGGGAATTATGATGGACTTTATGTTTTGCTGGAGCTGCCCAGGCGAACTTGTCACATTCTGATGCGCCTCTGAGCACCCTGTGTAGGTATACTGCACACCCTACAAAGCGGGACACAACATTCAAGCCAGTTAGTGTTACACTTTTTTTTCTCGAAGAGGTGGGTGGCAGAGATTGGCTACAGTCTTCTCGCGGAACCCTCAGCTCCCCAGAGTTCCCAGCATGTTTTCAATTGAGATATAACTGACCTGTTAGTTTCAAGAGTGCAACACAATGATTCAACGTGTGTGTATATACTGTGAAATGATCACCGCGATAAATCTAATTATGTCGCCACACACAGCTGCAAAATTCTTTTTCTTACAATGAGAACTTTTAAGATCTACTCCCTTGCCAACCTTCAAGCAAGTAATAACAGTATTAACAACTGTAGCTGCCATATTGTGCATTCCCAATCCCCAGGACTTACTTTATAACTGGAAGTTTGCACCACAGCATTTTTTTTTAATGTTTAATGTTTTAATTTATTTTTGAGAGAGAGAGAGAGACAGACAGAGAGACAGAGCATAAGCAGGGGAGGGGCAGAGAGAGAGGGAGACCCAGAATCCAAAGCAGGCTCCAGGCTCCAAGATGTCAGCACAGAGCCCGACGTGGAGCTCAAACTCACGAACTGTGAGATCAAGACCTGAGCCGAAGTTGGACACTTAACCGACTGAGCGACCCAGGTGCCCCACCACAGCGTTTAAGTGTTTCTTTTTTTTTTTTTTTAACATTTTATTTATTTTTGAGAGACAGAGAGAGACAGGGCATGAGCAGGGGAGGGGCAGAGAGAGAGAAAGAGACACAGAATCCGAAGCAGGCTGCAGGCTCTGGGCAAGCTATCAGCATAGAGCCTGATGCGGGGCTTGAACCCACAAACTGTGAGATCATGACCTGAGCCGAAGTCGGACGCTCAACCGACTGAGCTACCCAGGTGCCTCTCTTTTAAGTGATTCTTAACTCCCTCTGCTTTGCACATCCTAGGGATGCTTTTGTCAAATGAACAGCACTGGGAACACAGATCTGTATTTTTAAGTGGATCCCTCTAATGTTTCCCTTAGCTATGCCACTGGCAAATCCAAAATATGAATAATGTCAGAAACTCAGCTAAATAATTTTCTGCACCATGATGAAAGCCCAGGGAACTTTGCATTGGCAACTCCATTCTTTGAACATCTCCCGTATTTTTCATTAAAATATTATTCAACTGGAGAACAATGCGCAGCATAACGGGATGGGAAGTTCACGCCAGGTATCAGATGACTTCTCACTGGTCCCCCGCCAGCCAAGTACTGATGGGTAAAAATGAGCCATGCTTAAATCTGTCACCACTTCACCCAAAGATAAAGTGTTCAGGTTTTAACATCATCATGCATTAACCACCAGTGTATTCCAAATTATTATTTTAGAAATCAAAGCTGGGCAGTCATTTGCTTCTATACTTCAAAAAAATTTTTAAATGTTTTGAGAGAGAGACAGACAGAGCACGAGCAAGGGAGAGGCAGAGAGAGAGAGAGAGACACAGAATCCGAAGCAGGCTCCAGGCTCTAAGCTGTCAGCACAGAGCCCGACGTGAGGCTCGAACTCATGAACCGCGAGATCATGACCTGAGCAGAAGTTGGATGCTTAGCCCACTGAGCCACCCAGGCGCCCCGCTCTACGTTTTTAAAGGTTAGCATGGATTAAGTCCTTTCCTCCAAGTGTGGCAAGGGGATAAAGAGTCCCCTCACACCCCTGTGCCTTCCTTCTGTGCTGTTCACACACATCACACCCATGGCCTTCTGGGGAGACCTGCAAGGCACAAGGCTTACAAGGTCGTACCAGGCGGGAGTTGGAGGCAACAGAATGGCAACGAAGGGGACGTTGAGAACACAGCTCTCTAAGGGCTGCATGGGTTGACGCAGGAGCCACGCTCTAGGATGTATACGGCTACCACGGCTGCTGCCGGAAGTTCTGTAAGAATGACGCCAAGGCTGACCCATGGCTTCCCCTGCCTCAGCCCCAACACTCCAGTGGGGCCAGTTTATGATGGCCACAACCAGTCCTGCAGACTCACTCTGCGGGTCTCACCATACAAGCGCTTCTACCAAAGGACAGAACCGGGGCCACAAAAGGCACGTTTCTCAAAGCTTCCTCGGCACTCCTGCTCTCACCAACTCTGAGGACGTGAGAACTTGATGGCACGGGGCAGGGAGAGGAGTAGAGAGGTCACCCTGCTCTAGTCAAGCGTGTCAGTGTGAAAAGCGGGCCCGGCTGGGCAAGAGGGGCATGAACTTGCAGTCCCGGGCCCCTGGCTACCTGCTGTCCACTCCGTGCTTCTCTCTGACAGGGCACAGAACGAGCATGCAAAAGTTTCAAAGTTCCAGGGCCAAGTGTCAAAAAAAAAAAAAAAAAAGGAAAAGAAAAGAAAAAAGCCTCCATGCTCCAACGGTCATTTCCAGGGCCCATGAGTAACAGATCTGCCTGCCCGTGGTTAATGCTTACCAAGCACTTTCAGTCTGGCCAGGAACATCAGCGAGATCCCGACAGGGAGACCAACCACGTAATACCCGACGGCATTGACCATGGCCCCAGCCTTCTGGTTGCCACTTCCCCGCAGGATGCCACCACTTGTGCACTGTAGGCAGAAAACATCCATCAGTGAGAACACTGCTGAGGCTTCTGAAAGACTCCTGTCCCCAAGCACCTCCCAACCCCGGGGCGGGGGCGGGGCTCGGACTTAAAATCCGTGATCACGTGCCAGTGTTCTTATCAAGCGAGTATGATAAAAACGTTCGGTATTACCTACCTGCCCCATCCCAGTTGCTCTTTCCTTCTCTTTTTGCCTTTTTAATTTTTTGTTTTTAACGTTTATTCGTTTTTGAGAGACAGGGAGAGGGCAGGGGAGGGGCAGAGAGAGAGGGAGACACAGAATGCGAAGCAGACTCCAGGCTCTGAACTGTCAGCACAGAGCCCGACATGGGGCTCGAACCCACGAGCGGTGAGATCATGACCTGAGCCGAAGTCGGACGCTTGACCCACCGAGCCGCCCAGGCACCCCCAACTGCTCTTTTCGGTTTAAATGTACCACCATCAGAAGAAACGCGTAGATCATAAAGGGGCTTGAAAGGAATACTGCGTAACACTTACAGCAAGACCTTCGAACACATGGGAAACAGCACAGATCGGAATCACCTCAGCGACCAGAGCCACGATTTCTCTGTTAGGAAAAGAAAGCACGTCGTGATCAGGAGGAGACAGATGTGTGGCTCAGGTGATGGCACTTGGCCCCTTGTGTAAAACCGGAGGGGCTCATGCGTTCCAGCCAACACCCGATTCGTGGACAATCCTACGGTTTCTTGGCCCGTAGAGGAAACCAACCCTACATTGCATCGAATGACTTCCAGAAGGAATATATAGTCCAACTGGTTGATGGAAACAATTGCATGAGATGATGTGGTGCTCCACTGCCCACAAAAAAATAAAATTTGGATTATAATGCCACCCTCTTTTCATGTTTATTTTTGAGAGAGAGTGTGCAAGCACATGTGAGCAGTTGAGGGGCAGGGAGAGAGGATCCAAAGCGGGCCCTGCACTGACAGCGTCTCGAGAGCTTGATGTGGGGCTCGAACCCACGAACCGTGAGATCATGAGCCGAAGTCAGATGCTTAACCGACTGAGCCACCCAGGCGCCCCAATGCCATCCTTCTTTGAACATGATTCCACATGTATCTCAGTGTGTCTGGATGGAGTAGAACAGAGTGGTTACAGTTCTCTCTGTGGAACCCAGGTTGGCATGTTACAAAGGCCATAGAGACAGTTTACAGAATTATCCTTGGTTCCTAGAGGTAGTCCCTAACCTCTACAGCTAGAGACTTTGATTTTAACACCTACACTTTTAGAAAATGCTGCCACTGACCCAGGAAGGCAAAAAATTCCATCATACTCTTGAGTGATGAACAAACAGGCCTAGATCATTGTCTGGCAATAAATATTTGTTGAATGAATTAAAAAATCAGGAAACCCAGCACTGAACAAGGTGGTCACTCTCCTCCCCCTCTAAAAACAGGACAGAAATACAGTTCACTATTCAAATTGGATTTCATCTCTTGAATAGGTAACATCTGCCAATGGTTAAAAGAAATCAAGCCATGCAAAAAGAATATCGAGAAAAATCTTACTTCCACTCTGTTCCCAGCCCACCCATTGCCACCTCCCTGCTGACTGGGCAACAATCTTGAATACTGTCTGTACTTTTCCAGTACAAATACAGTCTTCTGTTCCCCTTCTAGAAACCGTTAGTCCATGTTCTAGCATTCTCTACGTGACCTTCTACAACTTGGCTTTCGCAACATACTCACTTTTATATCCCATCAAAATATATTATCTTTTATGTGCTGCTGAATTCTGTCCACTAATATTTTAGTTTTGATTTTAGAACTGATATTAATAAGTGAGATTGGCCTGCAACTTTCTTTTTTACTGTACAAACTTTGTCAGATTTCGGTACCAATGTTATTTTTGCTTCCAAAACAGAATGCGGACATTTCCCTTTTTGTGGTCTCTGGTACAGTTCGACAGCACTGGAATGACATTTTCGAGGTTTTATAAAATTCTCCACGGGAATCCTCAGGGATTAGTGCTTTTTCAAATTTTAAAATAAATTTTTCTTATTTCTTCAAAGGAAATCGGTCCAGTTAGACCTTTTATGTTTTCCAAGGTAAGTTTTGGTAAATTATTTTCCTAGAAAGTTATTTATTCCTTTCAGATTAAAAAAAAATTTTTTTTTAATGTTTATTTTCTGAGAGAAAGAGACCAAGTGCAAGTGAAGGAGGGGCAGGGAGAGAGGGAGACACAGAATCGGAAGCAGGCTCCAGGCCCCGAGCTGTCAGCACTGAGCCCAATACAGGGCTCGAACTCATGAACCGTGAGATAATGACCTAAGCTGTCGTCAGATACTGAACTGACGCCACTCAGACGCCCCTATATTCCTTCCAGGTTTTTTAAATTTACTTTCAAAAGTCATGCAAACTCGTCTCTCACGTTTCAAAAAAATTACTGTTTTTTAGTAACTTCCTCCTTTATTACTTTGCGTCAAGGGGCTCTCTCTCTTCTCCCTCTCTGCTAACGTTAGGTTCCAAGTCCTTGTTAGAATCTGTGTCACCGGGGCGCCTGGGTGGCGCAGTCGGTTAAGCGTCCGACTTCAGCCAGGTCACGATCTCGCGGTCCGTGAGTTCGAGCCCCGCGTCGGGCTCTGGGCTGATGGCTCAGAGCCTGGAGCCTGTTTCCGATTCCGTGTCTCCCTCTCTCTCTGCCCCTCCCCCGTTCATGCTCTGTCTCTCTCTGTCCCAAAAATAAATAAACGTTGAAAAAAATTAAAAAAAAAAAAAAAAAAAAAAGAATCTGTGTCACCAATCCTGCCAGTTTCAGCTGATCCTGGTCAGCTCATAAATAATTTGACGTCGTGAGTTTTCTCGGTCTCCCAATACCACCAAAGATATGGTTCCTGGGCCCTTTTGTTCTTCGTGTTTTCTTCCTGCCCCGCATGGTTTCCGGAAGTGGACGGACTCAGAAGCAAACGTCTGCCACGTGCCTACTGAAACCATCAGCGCAGGATCCACGTCCGATAACGACAGTTCTGATTCCCTTGCAGGAAAACGAGCATGATTTCCGGCTGCCCTTCTGCTTCCTTGGAAGCGAGGGACACTTAAACATCCTATTTCCCCACAGCAACATGGCGGAGGCTTCAAGGGGACAACCCGACCTCAGAAGTCAAAAGGCAACCCCAAAAAGATACCCAAGGAACGAACGGCGGAGGGCAGTCCTGTCCACCACCTGCTTGTTAAACCCGTGAAGGAAAAGTCAACGCTGCCTTTTGTAACTGCTGATAGAAGAAACCCAAGTCAGAAGTATCCTTGCGACATGCCCACACCAGCCAGCCTCACTGATGAAAGCAACCAACCCAAACAGGACCCGTAAACCACACAGGAGATCCATCCCTTACACGAATTCGTCTCAGTGATCGATCTGATCATGTGATTTTTTGAGACAGCTCTTCAGGGAGATTTTAACTTCGGTTCGAACTGACCAATATATTCCACGACTTGTATCTACCAGGAACTTGGGGGCCAGATTCTGAGCTACCAAGAGGATTCTTATCACTGGGAGCAAAATAACTGAAAATGTAATCAATGGTACCAAAAAGGGGTCTCCTTCTCTAAAATACACACCTATCCTGACCACCTGCAGCACGTATCACCAATAAATTGCCCAATAAATTGGCATTCTGGATGATAAATTAGTTCCTACATCTGATCAGTTCTTCCCAGGAAACATCAATGAGGTTTTTTTTTCCCTTTTTTTCTGTTTGTTTATTTTTGAGAGTGAGAGAGACAGAGCACGAGTGGGAGAGAGGCGGAGAGAATGGGAGACACAGAATCTGAAGTGTCCTTTAGGCTCTGAGCTGTCAGCACAGAGCCCAATGTGGAGCTCGAACCCATGGACCGTGAGATCACGACCTGAACCAAAGTTGGCCACTTAACCGACCGAGCCACCCAGGTGCCCCCGGTGAGTTTCTGATCTTACAAATGGCTCAGGGACCCTCCAAGATGCAACACCCCCAGGATGCCTCCCAGTGTGAAGGCATCCATCTACCCAACCATTTCTTTACCGCAAATTTTGCATTTCAAGAAAATGTCCACACTCACCGGTCGCTAGTGAAAATGTACCCCACCAGATCCTTAAAAATTAACAACAGGACGCAGAAGGTTATAGCAAAGACTCCTGGAGGTAAAAACAGCAGAGAAACAACCAGTAAGAAACGAGATTTGCAGGGCACCAGGAGGCTGGGCTTCCCGGGCACAGACCACTTGGGTGAGTCAATGACTGAAGAGTCTAAGCACCTGTGACCAGCAAGGCGACAGTTGAGGACTTCTTGGCCTGCTCGATGTCTCCAGCGCCCAGCGCATTCCCTACCCGGATACTGGTGGCCACACTGAAGCCTGAAGGTATCTAAAATGAAAAGCAGACATACCGTAACGAAAAGGGAAGAGTGAGCAGGGAGCAGAAGTCCCTGCCTCTTGGCTCGGTTCTCAGCCCAACCGTGCACCTTCCCCAGGGAACAGGGACCCGGGAGATCATGGCATACACCTCAGTGGTAAAACCTGGTCCTAAAAGTTCTGAGAAAACAAATTTGCAACCTCCCATTTGCCTAGCCGAGTGCCCCCAGGCTGATGGGAATCTCCATCGCATACTGGGCTTTTGGGCAAGGTGTGCAAGGGAGGGTCCTGCACAATCGTGTTTCCTCCTCTGCGTGCAGAGGACGGACTGCCAGGACCCCAGGGGAAGTCTGTTCTGAAAGACCATCAAGGGATCAAGTTTAGAAAACAGAATCCCAAAACGGCGACCTTTCCCCTTCCCCGGAGCGTCGGGTAAAAAGGAACTTTAAGGAAACGCAAAGATGCACACCCAAGCTCATCCCAGGCAATGCGGCTCCTCACGCCATGAACCTAGCGCCATCACCCTTTGCGCCCCCGACCTGTCCCCAGGCATCTATCTGTGTTGTGACAACCGGAAAAGATTCTTCATGTCTGGCAACTGTGCAAATCAAATCAAGTCTTTCAGATCCGGGGGGGCGCCTGGCTGGTGTCCGACTCTTGATTTTGGCTCGGGTCACGTTCTCATGGTTCATGGGACCGAGCCCCACGTCAGGCTTGGCGCTGACAGCAAGAATTCCACTTGGGGTTCTCTCTCTCCCTCTTTTTCTCTGTCCCTCCCCTATTTGCATGCCCTCTCTCTCTACACAAATAAAGAAGCTTAAGCAAAAATCTTTCAGATCCGAACAGTGCTAGGACGTGCAAACTCCCCAGAGCTCACCGGAAAGACCCCACCATTCCAGATGGGCCCTGCCTGGCTCTATGATGACATTTTACTCTCGTGTATCGTTTCACAGGTTACTAACGGGATGAATGCCTACGCTCGTTCTTTGGATTCTTTTCATTTAAAAAAAAAAATTTTTTTTAACTTTTATTTATTTTTGAGACAGAGAGAGAGACAGAGCATGAACGGGGGAGGGGCAGAGAGAGAGGGAGACACAGACTCGGAAGCAGGCTCCAGGCTCCGAGCCATCAGCCCAGAGCCCAACGCGGGGCTCGAACTCACGGACCGTGACCTGAGCTGAAGTCGGCCGCTTAACCGACTGAGCCACCCAGGCGCCCCTTTGGGCTCTTTTCAAGAGAACCATCTAGCACCCCCACACGGCCGGCTCCCGGACACTCACCATGTACAAAATGACGGTCACTTCATACACCACGGACTGGGCTCCCAGCTCCACCATGCCGAGGATACCTGGTGGAGAGAGGCAGCTGACACCGTGCTTCCGGATGGGGCCCGTGCCCACGCCAGCCATCGCCACCTGTCCCTGCACTGACCGCTCAGTAGGCTCCCGATCTCGTAGGCCCACCACTCAATGCACAGCATGAGCATGCCGGGGAAGGCCAGGTCGAAGAAGCCGGCCCAGTCATGCAGACACTCAAGGGACCACCCTGCAGCAGGGACAGAGACACATCACCAACACACGGGCCACTGGGCTGGAGCTCAACCCGAGACAAGACCCACGTCCGAGCTGGAAAACGAACAGCAGACTTTACCTCCCCAGATATCTTGGTGCAGTTTCCTCCAGAGGATGTACAGGAAGAGGAGCAGCACGAGGGTGAACTGGGAAATGGTATTTGCCAGTGCCGACCCCCTGGAAGGAACGGTCCCAGTGAGGGCAGGTGCCTGTCCATCGTGCGGGGACTCCCGTGGCAGCCCTAAACACATCTTCTTTCTGGAGCAGCCTCGCGGTCCGTCCCTGACCGTGCTTTCCAGAGCGGCCCAGGGAGGGGACCCCCACCGGGACACACGACCAAGTAGAGGTCCCCCCCTGCCATCCTGCCCTGGAAAAGCCTCAGGCAGGTCCCCCCCTGCCCCCCATCCCCAGAATCAGCTGGACTCACATCACCCCGAGATCCAGTTGATAGAGAAACAGATAGTTGATGAGGGCGTTGACAAGATTGGCGACAACTCCGGTGAGGATCTGGGGCAGTATGATTCCCTGAAACGAGGAGAGACCGCACCGCGTGCTGGAGACCAGGGAGCAGGGTGGTCACTTCCTCCCCAAACGCACACGCGCCACAGGCATAGCACGAGGACCCAACCGGATGCCCGTCCTTGCTGCTCCTGGCCTCCTGCCTCCCCCGCCCTCCTCCTCCCCTCCTCCCCCGCCTGGAGGCGTGAAACACAGGGACGTGGGCAGGAGAGGGCCCGGCAACAGACAGGCAGGACCGCCAAGTGGTTCGCCTACCAGAGCACAAGGACTGGCTGAGACGGAGTATAAACAAATCACCTTCCACACCGGACAGGGGGTGACCAACTCAGCACTTTTTCAACCAAATGGAAGTTCGGAACACTGATCTAAGATGACCTCACAAAGCTGGGGCGTGGGAAGGACTCCATCCCACCCGGCTCTGCTTACAAGTACAGGGCAGAGAAGTCCGGGCTGTTTGGCATCTTAATCTAAGACTTCAGGAGGGAGAGGAAAAAGACACGGGCTGGAGACGTACAAGGCATCAGGGGATCAGAATCGCAGGCGCGATGAGGCCGGCTGCTTCTCCCACCTGCAAGGTGTCACCCCGGCCCCTCGTCCGAACGCCTACTGCTTCCTCACCCTCGGACAAACCTGCTTCTCTGAAATCACGGACCCTGTGACATTTCGCCGTGTGAAGTCGTTACCGGTGAAAATAAAAGATCCCTCTCCTGCCTGGGGGATTGAAGTCACTCTCACACCCCAAAGCAGCAGCCTCGATTTTCCAGCTCAGGGGCAGAGCTTCTCACGGATTTCTGGACACAGCAATCCGCATCTATCTGAGCTCTCTCCGGTCCCCAAGGAGAGAGGACGTGGGTCCACTTTGCAGGGCGGACCTGGCATTGACCCCTCTTCTGCTTTGCTCTGAGCCTACCAAAACGTGGCTTCCCCTGCACTGCACCTAAACTCCATCCATCAGAATCATAAGATAACTCTCCCCCGCCCTTGCTGGGGGAGAACCACACTCCTCTGATCCAGCCACGCTATGGTCCACACCATGCTGCGTATTTGTCTCAAGTGGTCTCCTGGTCAGGGACCAGGACAAGGATCGTGGCCAACCACTTATGTGGGTCACTTATTTATCAGGCAACCCTGCTTATTAATCTTTAGCAAAGGAGGCAGGGGAGCACACAAGTCTTTCGGGTAGAGAGAGTAGAAGTAGCATGGGGTGAGGTTGGCCTTGGGAAGGACTGGCAGCAGGGAAATTTGCTAAGATGCTACGGAAGTATCCGCCGAAGGATAAGGGAAGAAGAAGAGAGGAACTGAGGCTGGAGGTTGGAGAGAGGCAGGACCACAGGACCATCAGTGACCGGACGTAAGAGTGAAGGAAAAGATGGAGAGCCAGATGAGGGCAGGTTCCCCAGAGATCAGGTGTTCGAGGCCCCTAACTGGGAAGGAAGGCAGGCAAGTGGAGAGGCAGGCCTGGGGGATGAGAAGGTCAAGTGCGCAACATGCTTGTGCCTCCTAGAGGCAGCATTCCAGACTGGCGACTAGAGCTATAAATGGGGGAGCCCTGGGCACACAGATGGGAAGAAAAAACACGCAAGAGACAGCTTCCCTCAGAGGAAGGTCAGCAGAAGCCAGTGGGGTCGCCTTGTCTACCTCTCTCCCACCTAGAAGTCTAAGCAACCCCCCGGTTTTCTCTGGGGCTCCTTCCACCCTCCCCAACTGTATTAACTTTGCCCCCAGACCAGCTGCACACTCACATATCGTACGGTCACGGAAGGGCTGGGCCCCAAGACGGAAACTGGGTTAAATGCAACTCCCTCCCTCTCCAGAGATCCCTGCAGACAAGGAGTCATTTCGTTCTACAGGATCCGCCCCAGTGTTACGATTCCCGTTGCTTCTGTAGGGCATCCTTTCTCATCACAGACCTGCAGCATCTTTTGTTGGGACCACGTCCATAACTCTCCTCTCTCCCCCTAGCAATCGGTTCCCCACCAGCTGAAATCCACAGCAGAGAACCAAGGCTGAGCCTGGGCCAGCCCACCTCTCTGATTCTGTCACCCACTGTGCCCCTCCACCCATGCCGTGGCCTCTGTGCTCCCACGTCCCGGTGACCAGAACACCCCTTGGGAACCCCGCGTAGTCTCCAAACCCAGTTCAAGCCTCTCGGCCCCTCTCAGCTTCAGGCTCCTCTTTGTAGGTCTCTGCGGGTCCCTCAGAGTATCTGAGAGAGGGGTTTTCACTCCCAGTGTCCTCACTGGGCCAAGCTGGAGCCTGTGGCTAGGAGCCCCCATGCTGGCTGGGAGCCTGGCAGTCAGGGAGAAAGCCCCGAGCATCTAACGCCTCCGCGTGGCTTCAGACGAGGCCACGGGCTGGCAGTGGACAGACAGGCCAGCGCTCAGTCGTGCAGACTTCCGCCCCTTTCCAGACCCTTCAAGTGTATCATCCTTACGCTGACGGGAGACTCGGAAGCTGTTTTTGTCCACAGGGTGATACCTTAAATTTAAGAACATTAAATAAACGGAAAACCTCCTCCCTTCTCTCTCCCCTCCCTTGTGCCCTCAGTCGCACGTGCCCTGGAGAGCCTGCCTGCGTGGCCACGACCCATTGCCCGGGACCCTCATTTCCCTGGATTCCTCTGGAAGGAAGTCAAGGGTCCCACATACGCTGGCATCGTAAATCCACGCCTACCGAACCAGGGCAGCCGTCACACAGCTTTGGCCCCTGCTGCTGGTCACAGTTCTCTCTGACATATTACGACGTGGGCCTTCACGCCCCACTGAGGAGAGCCGGGCCTTTCAGACAGGCTGAGAGGAGCGGAGAGGTTGGCTCCCTGGAGCCTGCCCGGCGCCCTCTGGGGGACACAGGCACACACCCTTCACTTCCAGAGAGCCAGGTAACAGCATGGAGCCAAAGAACGCTAGTGCTACCCCTGATCCTGCCAATGACAATATTTCCAAGGGGGAATCAGATAAGAATGTTCCAGAGCCAACAAGAACATACCCTTCCCTTGATTTCACTTCGTAAACTTCTCCACACCGAAGTCCTGAGCGCACCACACAGGGAAACGTATTTCGGTGGCCCCCAGCAGGTGAAGTTCCCCACCCCGTTATCCATGAGTGTTTTCAGGGCCCCGATCCCCGAAAGCCATAAACTCCCATGAACCGCCCCCCCCCAAAGAAAAAAGGAGAGTCTACATTACCTGGTTGAGCAAAAATTTAACTTGTAACGTGTAAATAAAGATTGCCTACAAGAGAAGAAAAAACGAACGTTAACATCTTGGCCTTGCCATGTAGCAAGGAGCTGGGAGCCGTGGCTTGGCTGCCCTCTGCTCCCCCGTGGACCCGCAGAGGCATGCCGTCTCAGAAGGGGACAGGGACAGGGGGCGGGAGCCGAGGTGTCTAGGGCCAGGGCGTTCCAAACATCTCTTATGGACGAACAGCATCCAAGGGACCCCAGGGCCTGGGAGAGCAGTTTCCTTGGGAGGATGACAAGGAGCCTTCTGGGGGACAGTGGGGCTGGAAAGGAGGCCCCTGGGCAAACTCTGGGGGGGGGGGCACCCCTTCTATAGACCAAATAACAGTCCTATTTGGTGGCGTAACTAAAGAATACGGAGCTTTATCTTTTCTTAATGTTTTCAGAAATTTATTTTGAGAGAGCGTGCACACGTGCACATGGGGGAGGGGCAGAGAAAGAACGGGAAAGAGAGACACCCCCCCCCCCCAGCAGGCCCTGCACTGTCAGCACAAAACCTGACTCGGGGCTCAATCCCACAAACCATGAGCTCGTGAGCCGAGCAGAAACCAAGGGTTGGGTGCTTAACCAACCGAGCCACCCAGACACCCCGAGAACATTAAACTTGAAAGGCTTCGGGGTAAATTAAAAGCCACAATGCCAACTGTGATGGCAGACGGCTACTTTTTTTTTTTTAATTTTTTTTTTTCAACCTTTTTTATTTATTTTTGGGACAGAGAGAGGCAGAGCATGAACGGGGGAGGGGCAGAGAGAGAGGGAGACACAGAATCGGAAACAGGCTCCGGGCTCCGAGCCATCAGCCCAGAGCCCGACGCGGGGCTCGAACTCCCGGACCGCGAGATCGTGACCTGGCTGAAGTCGGACGCTTAACCGACTGCGCCACCCAGGCGCCCCAACAGACGGCTACTTTCAAAGGCTGAATTACAGCCATCCAAATTCGTATGTTGAAGACGTAACCCCCAACGTGGCTGTATTTGGGGAGTCTTTAAAGAGGTGATTACGTGAACGTGAGGCCATTAGCGTAAGCTCTAACCCGACAGGACTGAGGTCCTTATAAGAAGACAAGAGACACCGCGGCTGCACCCACACAGGGGGATGGCCGCGAGAAGAGGCAGCCAAGCAGGAGGTGGTCTGCAAGCCAAGGAGAGGCCTCCAAGGGTATCAACCCCGCGACCACCTTGATCTCGGACTTTGCAGCTTCCAGTAGTGTGAGAAAACGTTTAAGCCATCCAGTCTGCGGCGTGTTGTCAGGGCAGTGCAAGCAAACCCACGCAGTCCCGCCGTCCCAACGGAGTAAAACAGTTTTAATTGTTCACTGACCGCGAGCTTCTGTGTCAGACGTGAACATACACTTAGGGTTGTGTGTGATCACACTCCGCAAGGAAGAAAAAAAAATCTAAAGGGTTCAGAGTGAGGCCCTAAGGAGTTCTGACATGGGAGAGAATTTACCCTTATCTAAAAGAAGAAAAAAAAAAAAAAAAAAAAAAAAAAAAAAAGGCTGAACTCCTTTCCGCGGAGGATATCCTGGAGACCCCTCCAGCGGCAGAAGTTCAAGACAGTGGTTCACTGAACTCGCCTTGGTCCCGGGGTCTCTCAAGGGACACACGTTTGTGTCTTTTACAGGCATAATTAAAACCCCACTTCTTAAAGGAGCCAGCGTCACACGTGTGAATCACAGAAGACTGACCCAATGCATTGGGCCTACAGGTAGCTCAGGTGCCTTCCACCAGTAAACCCCAAGAAGGGGGACCTCATGGGGTGCTTGGGTGGCTCAGTCAGTTAAGCATCCGACTCCTCACTTCGGCTCAGGTCGTGATCTCACGGTTCGTGGGACCGAGCCCTGAGTCGGGCTCTGCGCTGACAGCACGGAACCTGCTTGGGATCCTGTCTCTCCTCTCTGCCCCTTCCCCACTCGTTGTGGCTCACTCGCTCTCTCTCAAAATAAAATAAACTTAAAAAAAAAAAAAAAAGAAGGGGACCTTGTAACCTTTGAAAACTTACAGGCAGGGCAGGAATGAAGATCATGACATAGTCCTGGGTAAGCCTGTACAATGAAAAGCAAAAAAAGGCCACAGCGGTCTCTGTGAGGGAAGGGTGGGTAGGAGAAGCTGACAAAAACCATCTTTCCCATTCTTGGCTCTTTCTAAATTAACGGGTTTCGACTGCTGGAGCAAATGCGAAAATGAGAGACACCTAGACCTTGTCCTCTTAAAACTGCCTCTCTTGGTCCTTCCAAATCTTTAGGTCTAGGGAAGGGTTTTTCAACTCGGCACTACGGCCAGATAGATAATTCCCTGCCGTGGAAGGAACCTGTGCATCGAAAGATGTTTCGCGATGTCTCTGCAGAGCCCCAGTAACCAGTTCTGATCCCCAGAAATGCCTCCCAACATGGCTAAACGCCCCCTAGGTTCACCGCCGCGGGTCTAGCACAAGGACTTGTTTTAAAGGTCTTAATTAACTCGACCAGCAGGTGGCAAACACATCAGCCCATGAGAATCCTCAGGGGAACTCTGAAAGACACTGATGCCCTTGCCACACCGCAGGCCAATTCAAACGGAACGCCGACGGGGGAGGGGGACTGGGCATGGGCACCCAGGTGATTTTAGTTTTAATCTAAAGGCACCCAGGTTTTAAAGGCACCCAGGTGATTTTAGTATCAACCAGGGTCAGGAATCACAAAACCGTGAACAAATGCCCTAAACTCCTATCTCAAGCGGAGGATGTTTGCAAACCTTATTTCAGTATAAACGATGTACCCTGAAGTCACCCAAATAAGGAAGGGTCTAGACCTTGCTTGCCACGTATGAAAAGCACTACATAATGCCGGCCTTTGTAATTCCCAGAGGCTGAACCTGGATAGGGCCGTTTTTCTGCCAAGATGGACCCAATCCCCACCCCCACCCCATGGCATGGGCCCATCTTACCTGGACACGGCTGGGTCCTGCCTGAAGAGATGCAGAATGTTCTGGGTGTTGACGAAGAGTGCCCAGCAGGGGAAGCAGGAGAGAAGCAGCACCAAGGTGCCCCTCTGCAGGATGACCCCCACGTGCTTCAAGTTCTGGCTCCCATACGTCTAGGTGCACACGGTCCAAACAAACGCATGAGTACAGAAACGGCACCCCTTATACCCCCCCCAAAGGCCTTCAATCATGACTCTGCCACGCTCTTTACGTTAGTGGTTCTCAGACTTGACTACCCATTAGCATCACCTGGAGAACTTTTTTTTTCGATTTCCTTAAAAAAAATTTTTTTTAATGCTCATTTTTTGAGAGAGAGAGAGACAGAGACAGAGAGAGACAGAGCACGAGCAAGGGAGGGGCAGAAAGAGAGGGAGACACAGAATCTGAAGCAGGCTCCAGGCTCTGAGCTGTCAGCACAGAGCCTGACGCGGAGCTCGAACCCAAGAACCATGAGATCATGACCTGAGCCGAAGTCGGACGCTTAACCAACTCAGCCATCTAGGTGCCCAGAGTATGCGACTTTTAATCCCAGGGTGGTGAGTTCAAGCCCCACATTGGGTATAGTGTTTACTTAATAAAAATTAAAAAAATTAAAAAAAAAGAGGAGCACCTGGGTGACTCAGTCAGTTAAGTGTCCTACTTTGGCCCAGATGGTGACCTGGCGGTTTATGGGTTCGAGCCCTGCGTCAGGCTCTCTGCTGACAACTCAGAGCCTGGAGCCTGCTTTAGATTCTGTGTCTCCCTCTCTCTCTGTCCCTCCCTCGTTCGCACTCTGTCTCTCTCAAAAATAAATAAACATTATTAAAAAGAAAGTAGCACACTCCATGGTGCCAGCCAGGCACCCCACCTGGAGAACATTTTTAAAACACTGACACCAGGGTCCCACTAAAGATAGTCTACATTTAGGGGCATCTGGGTGGCTCAGTCGGCTGAGTGTCTGACTCTTCGTTTCCGCTCAGGTTGTGGGCTCATGGTTCACGAGTTTGAGCCCCAGCTGGGGCTCTGTGCTGACTGTGCAGGGACTGTTTGGCATTCTCTCTCTCTCTCTCTCTCTCTCTCTCTCTCTCTCTGCGCCCCTCCTGCTCTATCTCAAATAAAGAAACCAACTTTAAAGAAAAAAAAGTCTGGATTTAACAGGTCCAGGGTGGGACCCAGTTATCAGTCATTGCTGTTTATTTATTTTTGAGAAAGCACAGTGGAGAGGGGCAAGGAGAGGGGACAGAGGATCTGAAGTGGGTGGTGCACGGACAGTGGCGGGCCGAATGTGGGGTTTGAACTCACGAACCGCGAGATCATGACCTGAGCTGACGTCGGGTGCTCAACTGACTGAGCCACCCAAGCGCCCCACATCAATCACTTTTAAAAGCTCTCCATGTGATTCTTTTTTTTCCTGTTTTTAATGTTCACTTATTTTTGAGAGAACAGAGTATTGAGCGGGGGAGGGACAGAGAGAGACGGAGACACAGAATGTGAAGGAAGCCCCAGGCCCTGAGCTGTCAGCACAGAGCCCGACGCGGGGAGACGTGAACTCAAGGACCGCAAGATCATGGCTTGAGCCAAAGATGCTTAACCGACTGAGCCACGCGGGCGCCCCTCTCCGTGTGATTCTGAAGGCCAGTCAGGGTCGCATCAGCTGGAAACCAACCTACTAGACGTGTAGTATCTCGGGCCCTGCCCCCCACCTGCCGAAACAGGGTCAGTGCGCGCAGAAGCCAGCTCCTACGGGCCTACAGAAGCCAAAAACTCTGTGCCATCTCTCCCTGGGACGTGTTCAGTGACATCTGTACGGGAGCCTGAAGCTAGCTATAGAGAGAATAGTTACCACCATGGGACTTGGCAGAGAGCAGGTCAGACGCGGCCCTCTGCCCCTCCCCCACCCCAGACCCGCTCGTTCAGCAGTTACCAGGATGCCACCAGCCTACTCTGGCAAGCCCCGCTGGTAGCTCAGAGGGACGCTCAAGTCTGAGACCCACGGGGACCGTGCCAGACTCAATGATGCGGGAAGTCCTAAAAGGGACTCGTACAAAATGTCCCATGTGGTCAAAAGGCAACGTAAGGTGGCCGTGCACAAGCCTGTGAGACACCCAGCCACGCTTCAAAGAAAGCAGGCACCGGAAAGTGGAACTGACGGCTGGCCAGACGTCACAGGGCTGGCCGTCAGCAAGTCCCTCCCCACCGCGCGCACGGCCCTCCCTTCCTGCCGCTGGGGACCTTCCGGCTATGCTCCAGAGAAGATGTTCAGGGTCACCGTGAGAGTCACCTGGGGCTTCCGTTTACCTGGGAGATGAGGGTGTCACAAGCAGAAGATAAGCCAAAGCCCACCGAGATTCCAGTGACGTTGATCATCTGCCAAGAAACGCAAGGAGACAGGAAGGCATATTCTCTGTCTGCTCTGATCAGAGGCAGCCTCGAGCCTCCGACACCCCTCACCAGTCGGCCTACTCAGCCCCATTCTCCGCCCGGAGCCCCTCCACTGGCCCCACTTTAATTAAAGGACGTGCACGAGTTGAGAGACAGGGAACGTCTCAGCCAGAGGTCACGACAAAGCCTTTTGCTTTCTTAAATCCCAGGCGTTTGGCTTCCTGACTTCAGAGGAAGGTGAATCCTTCTTAACAGCAACGTAATGTGGTGGGGTGGCAGTTCTGGGTGAGTCCCCCTGCTCAAGGCCAAGTACGGCCTGTTACAAGATCCCAAAGGGTTCTGAGGGCTCAGAATCAAGCCCCCGAAGCCAAGACCAGAGGGCTTCCAGGTGTACTTGTCTTGACCAGGGTCAGCAACTAAACCCCAGGGTCCCTGGAGCTTTGGGGAGCCCAGGGCAGCACCCCCAACACCAGGGAGTGGCGTCACAGGATGTCTGGAACCTGTTGCCTCTACCTGAGTCTGCGGGGAGGTTACAGAGACAACAGCCCCAAACTGGACTCAGCCTAGAAGCACCAGCTTGCTTTCCTTCTCTTTCTGAAGTGTTTATTTTTGAGAGACAGAGAGAGAGAGCGCGCAAGCATGAGCAGGGGAGGGACAGAGAGACAGAGAAACATAGGATCCAAAGCTGTACTGATGGAAGCAAGCCTGAGGCAGGGCTCGAACTCACAAACTGTGAGATCATGACCTGAGCCTAGGTCAGACAATCAACCAACCAAGCCCCTCAGGCACCCCAAGGAAGGCTTTCTTGTGCTTGCTTGGCTAAAAAGATTTTTGCCAGAGGCTTGCCAGGTGCATTTGTTCCTCCCAGATTTCCAAACATTAAAACCACAAAGGGATAATTAAGCCTGGGGGTTTCTCACATTGTTCCCCGAAAGCAAGACAACCCGTATATACCCAAGACCCGGTTCAGAGTAGTCTTGCCCAGTTCCGAGGTAGCAAACACCAACGGCTAAGTAAGGTGGACGTGTGCCTTAGCAGAGACCACCAAGAGGAAATTGGGGAGGCTGAACAGGGGCACACAAGCCACCAAATCCACCTTCCTGGAGACACCTCGCTGGCCAAACCAAACAAGTTGGCAGGGTCGTTTGGCCAGACATAGCCACTTAGCCCCTGGCAGAGGTCAATGACATCTCTCTTTGGTTTCGGGGACTCATATCCAGGATACAGGGAGGATTTGGGGTTCCTCCCAATTTTAGGTTTGGACACTAGGATCCAGGATTCCATCTTCCACTTCTGTGTCAGGGAGATGAAAGTCAAGGCGGAGGTGGGGGGTGTCACAGTTTCTCCTGATGAAGTCAGACTTCACCCCCCCCCCCCCCCGCTTTAGGATTCCCTTCTCCCAGATGTGGGACCAAGAACAGAAGGCCAGAGCGGCACGGATTACAAATTTACTGATGTGGGAGGCGGAGTAAGAGCCCTCCAAAGATGTCCCATCCCAACCCCCGGAAAACATGAGGTTACGTGGCAAAGAAGAATTATAGCTGCAGACGGAAAGATGGTTACCGCCCTCACCAACACTGTGTTTTCAGCCCAGTGAAACCCCTTGGCGACTTCTGACCTCCAGCAGCATAATATGATATGCTGGATTGTTTTATAGGCCATTAAATAGCGACACCTCGTAACAGCAGCAAGAGGCAGACAGACAGCTTTCGGAAACGTGTGTTGGCAAGTCCCCTACGTACCGCAATCGCAAGGGTGACGGCGTCCAGTTCCAGCTTCCCCAGGTGGCCACAGAACACGGAGCTCACGAAACTGATCAGAAACACCATCAACTGGGCCAAGAACTGGGAAGAGACAGAAAAGGAGTTGCGGGTGAGTGTCCCAACTGTCGCAGCCGAAGGAGGGTGTGAGGGCCCGGGGGCGGGGGGCGGGGCGCCCCCACCCTCTGCAAATCAACGCCAGTAACGGAATCTGGCTGGTATCGGCCTCTGCCAACTTTCACAGGCCAACACGCCACTTCAGGTAGGCTTCCAGAAGGATGGTAAAAAGTTCATCTGCGACCGCTACCAGAATCACATTTTTAAAACGTTTTTTAATTGTTTATTTTTGAGAGAGAGACAGTGAGCACAGGGGAAGGGCAAAGAGAGAGAGAGAGAGAGAGGCACAGAATCTGAAGCAGGCTCCAGGTTCTGAGCTGTCAGCACAGAGTCCCATGCGGGCTCGAACTCACGAACCATGAGATCGTGACCTGAGTGGAAGTCCAACCCTTGGAGCCAGCCAGGCGCCCCCAGAATCACATTTCTGAGAACTTTCTAGCTTTTTAAGTTGATTTTTCACTGCAGAGTCTCAGGCCGCACGTCACATGTGTACATTCTCTGAAGTTGTCAGAGGCTGCCTTCTGGGATAACCCCCCTGTTCTCCCAAATTCCTAGTGAGGACTGGAGAGAATGCCGCCTTCAATCAGTTCCACAGGCAGGAACACCTAAGGCAGACACGAGGTTATCCTGCTGGAAGGTCAGCGGGCTCTGGAATCTTGGGAAGAGACATCCCCAATCTGCCAAGCATGTTTAATTCTTATATCCTATGAAGGCTCAGAAAGGAGGGCAAATTCAGCTTCTGGAACAATGAGCCATCATTCCAGGAACTACCATGACTTGCTCCCCAAGGTTGCAGCTGGATGTTTGGACACTTACCTTATCTCCTTAGGTTAATTTTTTTTTTTTCCTTTCTTTTTTCTCCTTAGGTTAATTTAAAGCCACCTCCCAGGGCACCTGGGTGGCTCAGCTGGTTAAACCTCTGATTTCCACGCAGGTCGTGATCTCGCAGTTCACGAGTTCGAGCCCTATGTCGAGCTCTGTGCTGACAGCTCAGAGCCTGGAGCCTGCTTTGGATTCTGTGTCTCCCCCGGTCTCTCCCGCTCCCCCACTCTCTCTCTCTCTCTCTCAAAAATAAAGTAAAAATAAAATTAAAAAACACCTCCCACCCTCACCCACCAGAGCAGTGGAGTACCTCTCGGGAAAGCCCTTCTTTCCCAGGAGGCTTATGTGCTCTCACCCCCACTCTCTGGGAGACAGAACAGAGGCCTAAGGATTGACAGCTGCTGCTGGGGTCTGCCCCAAGGGCCCCTTTCCAAGCTGATGGGACACAGAGGAGCTTGTGCTGGTCCCATCGGCAAAGGGAAAGGGACTCCTCCTGCTCAGACCTCAGACAAGGTTCCATCTTTCTTGGGCCCCCAAGTGACACAGCTTCTCATCTGACAGGACCTTCTGCTATGGAGCAGAAGGGATGCTTTCAAAACGTATTGCAGAAGTAAGCCAAAAACCAAAGAGCAGGCAGGGGACAACGAGAAGCTGGGGGCAGGGGTGAAAATAAAAAAGGTTGGCATAGAAACCCAATCCTATAGAGCCCAAGCCTAGAGCCAAGGTACCCCCCGTAGGCCTGTGCCAGTGGGACGGGCCAGGATGTGGGCCTCGTCACCATCCTTACAGATGTTCTCTGTGGTTCCGTCCAGGGGACCTTGCTGTCTCTTCGACTGTGAATTTATAGAACTTTAAAGATCATGGGGTCCTTTTTTTTTTTTTTTTTTTTTTAGTGAACTCAGGATCACAGTCACTAACTTCTCAGCCTCCGTGCATGTAAACAGTGGCAAATGGCTGTATCACAGAATCTGTTTTCCTCTTTTCCACGGAACGTTATTTCTACGACACAGTGCCCAGTCCCCCCACCGGCCACATGTGAGCTGTTTTCCGTGGCTTCACGTAAAAACGTGCTCAGTCTCATCTATCATCAGGCCTCTGGGCCACTTTCCCAATTCTGCTCTAACTGATCATGCTACACAGAACGCCTTTTGTAGTTGGGCAGGGAATGGACATTTTTGTAGGGCAAGTGTCCCGTCCACCAGCAGGAATAGTTACGTTTCTTAGATGAAAAGGCCAGGAAGTCTAGCTGAGTTCAGCTAACCCACGTGAGATGCAGCGTTGAGCCCACTGAACACTTGCTGGGGTCATGGCAGTAACATGGGGTTCAGGTCGCCCAACACAGCAGCCATTTGTGACCTTCAGTCCGAGGAGGATCCTGGCTCCAGGGTTGATGTTTGTTAACCGCGTAATGTTTATATCCTGGTTTTAAGCCCTTTGGGTGAGCTCTTGACCATGGCTGTGGTCCCTACACAAAGGATCACCTGAGGGGGGTGCCTGGGTGGCTCAGTGGGTTAAGGGTCCAACTCTTGATTTCGGCTCAGGTCATGATCTCATGGTTGTTAGTTCAAGCCCCGCATTGGGCTCTGTGCTGACAGAGCAGAGCCTGCTTGGGATCCTCTCTCTCTGTCTCTCTCTTGGCCCCTTCCCTGTGCTCACTCTCTCCCCCTCAAAATAAATAAATTCAACAAAAATTTTTAAAAAATTAAAGGATCACCTGGGGATATTTATCAGAAAGCTAACACCTGGCCCCTAGCTTAAGAGACTGATTCCGGACATCAGCAGGGCTGTGAGATCTGCATTTCGACACCCCAACGCCCACCCCATGCACACCCAGTCAAGACGTGTTGGTCAAGGACAAGATCCTCCCAAATTGTCCCATCACACGGCATGTTGCTGTGCCTGGGGAATTAACCAATTCCGGACACAGGTTTGTTCCCCCGGGTGCCTCAGGGGCGGCTGTCTCCACGACAGCATGACTGGCAATGGCTACATGTAGTCAAATGCACAATAGAAATGGCCAAACTGGGGGCGCCTGGGTGGCTCAGTCGGTTACACGTCCGACTTCAACTCAGGTCATGATCTCACGGTTCAGGAGTTCATGAGTTCGAGCCCCACGTCGGGCTCTGCGCTGACAGCTCAGAGCCTGGAAGCCCGCTTCGGATTCTGTGTCTCCCTCTCTCTCTGCCCCTCCCCTGCTCACATGGTCTCTCTCTCTCAAAACTAAATAAACATTAAAAAAGAAAAAAGAAAGGAAATGCCCAAACTAGTGGGCGGGGGGTGGCTAAACAGTGATGGGTACTAAGGAGGGCACTTGTTGGGATGAACGCCGGGTGTTACGTGGAAGCGATGAATCGCTAAATTTTATTCCTGAAGCCATTATCCCGCTATATGTTAACTTGGGTTTAAATAAGAATTGATTTAATTTAGTTAATTAAAAAAAAAAAAAAAAAAAAAAAAACAAGTGGCATCTGTTTCTTCCTGCCACGGAGGCCCTGCTCATTTTTCGGCCAGACAAACAGAACTCTTGCTATGTGGCCGCTTTGGAAGGGTGCTCTCCAGGGCCAGATGCCAGGGAGGCAATGGGTGTGAGCCTGTCCAGTGTGCCATACGAGACAGTTCTAGAAGGCCCTGGTCTTACCCTCCCCCCCCCCCATGGATGCCTGAAAGCTTACTCCTGTAGCGAGAGGCCAGCACTGGAAGGAGCCTGCGAGGTCGTTGGCTACGGCCTCTTCTTTGACACCCGAGGAAATCCAGGCAGGCAGGCTGAGCCACCAGCCCCAAGTCACACAGCTGGTTAGTAACAGAGGTAGGACGCAAGTCACCGGACTCCCAGATGGTCAACTGGGGTCAACATCTTTGGAGCACCAAGTACACGCCAAGCACTAGGGAGATGGACGGAAGTAACATGAACACCATCCGCTCCATTCCTACACCAATGGAACCTGCCGCGTAGCACAGAAAGATGTTCATCGTGGAATAACACTGCCAGTGACACATGATTGGTGCTACAAAGGAGGCAGGAGCTCCAAGAGCACAGCCTGGGAGTCCGAGAAGGTTCTGGGAGAAATGAAGTTCAGCTGAAACCTGAATGGTGAAGGTGGGCGGTCTGTCTGGGGAGAACGTTCCAGGCAGAGGAAACGCCGAGTGGCAGGAGGGTGTGGGGTCTGAGGCAAGGCTGGGGCACTGAAAGGAGGCTGGGTGAAGGACCAGTGGGAGAGTGAAACGAGAGACTGGAGGGCCTCACGGAGACCAACGAAGGAAGGGGACAAGCTCACACAGCACATCTGAAGAGGAGTTTGGTGGCTCCAAGTGGAGCAGTGGGGCCAACCTAAGAGGGAGACACAAGCTGGAGGCGGTAGTGGCCCAGACCTGGAGTGCGGACGAGGGGAGGTGAGCAGGTGCATCTGGCGGAGAGACAGCTAGGCCTGGGTGAGGGAGGGGACAATGGAGGAGGGTCCTGGACCACTCCCTTCCCCTCATGCCCACCACCCTTTGAGATGCCTCCCACTCTTTTACACCTTCATCAGCCAAGCCTAGATTGTCTTCTGCCTTCTGGAAGCTTGCTCCTGCCGAATCCTACATGCGTCACTAAGTACTGCCCGCTGATTATTTCCCCACTGCCTATAGGATAAAAATCAAACCATCAGCCTGCAGGTCTGGTCTCTCCCCCGACTGCCATCCAGCCTGTCTGTCCAGACGCCACTCACCGTGCGGGGCTTGCTCTGTCGTTCTGCCCTGCAGCCCTAGAACGTTCTCCAGCTCCCTCTCAAGTATTCCTTTCTCCACACAGATGGGAACAAGCTCGCTCAGTTTGGGTCCAGGCGATTCCCCCCTTCTTTTCCACCCTCGGCAATGCTGGGCACAGCCCGTGCTCCCAGAGAGCAGGCAATCCCCCCTTGGGATTATTTTTCAGGACTCTGACTCAGCCTGGCAGTGAAGATAAAATGCTAATGACAAAGACAAAGTAGAAAAGCCCAAGGCTAGGTAGTTTCAACCACCGCCTCCCTCCCTCACAAATACGTTTTCTGCAGAATAAATGGAACATGCACCAACATGTTTTCTGATATGCACCTTGTTCCCTTGCGTTAGGCATATTCTCTCCTTACAGGCCTCATCTGAAGTTCATTTGGAGTGGAAGAGAAGTCAGTCCTAATACCTGGGCCTCGATACTATCTTGGATCCATGTTAATATGACAGGCTGGAAGGGAGGCAGTCAATGGGAGAGACAAAATCACAAAGAGGAGATTCAGACCAGGCATCCTACCTAATTGATGGTGGAGCCTTAGTATGGGACACTGAGTGTGGAAAGAGACTAAATAATGAGTGACAGCACTGTATGACCTCTTTGGGTAAAGCAGTCACATACAAACCCCCACCCAAAGGACTGGAAGGAAATTCCCAAATTGCCTGGGTGGGGAAATTTCAGAGTGTTTTTGTTACCTTCTTTGTCCTGGTTTTCTACTTTTGTCTGTAAGTAATATACATTGGGTAAAGCAGTGGGTACAAACCCCCACCCAAAGGGCTGGAAGGAAATTCCCAAATTGCCTGGGTGGGGAAGTTTCAGAGTGTTTTTGTTACCTTCTTTGTCCTGGTTTTCTATTTTTGTCTGTAAGGAATATACATTGTATCGGTAATTAACACAGTCATATACATGCAAACACACAGGGGTTCCAACAAACACAAAGGGCCCAACAGGTCAACAAGTCAGGCTAGTGCTGATCCCTAGAGACCCGGAAGGTCCCCCTACATCAAGGGAGACCAGGTTTCAATGGGGACCAGAGAAACGAAGGACTTGTCCTGGGAGAGGCTAGGTCTCAGCAAGCCGCCTTGTGGTGTTGTATTATTAGAGCAATAACAGCCTTATAGAAGCCTTTTCTCACAGCAAGTCTGACAGCACATTGAGCCAAAGCCCAGATTTCTATCCTTATTTTAGGGATGAATAAACAAAAGCTAGAAGAGGTTCAGGAACTACTCAAATTCACATAGTCGTTTCCCAACCTGCCTTCTGAGATCAAAGCAGGGAATAGCCCCCCAGATACAGAGATTCCAAACCACGCATTCTCTCTCTCCATTCTCCAAGAAGAGGTTCACAAACACCTTCCTGCTAAGATAGAATTTCATTCCACGGCTTTATCCCTGGCATTACTCTTGCCCCCAGGCACACCACAGCAGGGATCCTGAGATCCCTCAACCAGTGAGGTCACCACGCCAGGAAGTGCCACGTGACCGCCTTAGCCGGTGCAGGTGCAGAACTCCTACCAAGTGGCCAAAAGCTTATTCCCGCCTTGAAACCCCAACTGGTTCTTCTTGTCCAATGAAATGACTCTTACTCGGTTCACTTGAAAACCACCCAAACTGTCAGGAGAACAGGGCTGGGATTACATTTTTCTGTGGTTCCTGTGGCTTTCAAAACCCACATTACTTTTAAATAGACAACGCAGAAAAAGCCCTAACCTTAGAATAAGAAAAAAACCTCAGCCCCACAGAGAACCACATTAAAAACTTTCTACGTCTTTAACACACACAATAACGGGGGAGGAGAGTGAGATACGATGCCTCTGGTTTCCTCGTGCAGAGGGTGACAATAATCCCGAAGGGTCCGGAGATCTAAACCCAAGAGAGACGGGCAATTCACCTTCCTCCTCCCTGCCTCGAGACCATTTAGCCACCTGAAATCCCGACTCGACAGCTAGTTTTCAAGCCAACCAGATTCCCCGAATGTTCTGCGGTTCGGGAACCTGCTTGCTTCGCTGGAATCCTCCCCCAGGGAAGGCACCCGTGGAGCGCCTTTAGGCCAGCGGGTCCCGGTTCCCTCGGGGCTCCCCATGCCCGGGCGGCGGCCAGCTGCGCCACCTGTGCCCGGCGGGTCGGCCCCCGGGACGGTGCAGAGCGCGACCCGGGACGCATGCGGAGGCACCGGGACGCGCGCCCGCGCGGCTCTAGGCACCGAGTCCCCGGGCGCCCGCGCGTCTGCCGCCAGCTCGCTCTGACCCCCCTGCCTCCCCCCTAGGTCACGCGGGGCGACACGCGTGCCGGGCCCCCGACCCGCCGGGCCCAGCCTCCGACGGAGGCTACCTTACTCACCGCGGGGCCCGCCAGAATCAGGAGCGCCCGCAGCTCCTCTCGGAAGCCGGGCAGAAGCTGGCAGCGAGGCCCACGACGCTCGGGGGTGGCCCCCTGGCCGCTCGGCTCGGACACCTCTATAGCCTCCATGCGCCCGGAGTTCTGCGGCCGGAGAGCGTGGAGACGGCCTCCTGGAGGGCGCAGTGCCGCCCCTACTCCAGTCCCCGCCCCAGACCTCCCGCCGCGCGCCGGGAGCCCGCCCGCAGCCCGGGGCCCCGCCGTGCGCGCCCCCTGCCCGGACGCGACCTTGGGCGCCTCCCTTGCACCCCTGCACCGCTGCGGACGCGACTCCTACCGGGAAGGCAGCGTTTGCAAAAGCTCTGGAAACACCCAGAAAACGTTCCGGGGGCTGGGCCCTCGGAGCCGCGGACGCCAGGGCTCGCCCCGGCCCTCCGCCTGCCCCGGGGGTTTCAGGTTCTGAAACGTGCGGCCAGGAAGGACCTCGAGTCCTCGCTCCGGGACGGGGCTGGCGGCCAGCCAGGGGCGCGGGCTGGGCACACGCCCGCCCTGGCGGGCACCTGGGCTTTGGTGGCCCCCGCTCTGCGGAGTGCGCCCAGCACCCGCTTTTGAGGCTGGGTTTGGAATTGACGTACTCCCTTTCCCCCCACCAACTGTGTTACAGAACTTAGAATCTACCAGAATAGAGCGACAAGCCCACATTTCCCAAACAGAACGATTCCCGTTCGGCCGGGCTTCTTGGGTATTTATCCTGAATCAGCCTGAAGTGGGAGAACCAGGACCTTTTCGTCCACAAAGGAGGATTTGAGGGACACCTGCCGCGTGGTCCCCGGGAGAGCAGAGCAACTTGCTTGCCTCCTAGACCCTCCGTTGCCTCCTCTGTAAACTCGGAATAGTTTCTGCACCGCTGGCTCTGGTGAGGATGAAATGAGGTTGTGTCGGTGAACGACGTGCCTTCAGTCTGGTACACGATCCTTGCCCCGCAGACGTTAGTTACCAGGATAGGGTGATTTCTGTAATAGTGGAAATTCCTTCTCTTGCAGAAACGATCCAACTTAAGCAAAGAAAATGGAAAGCATAAAGTTTGGGGCTCCCCAAGCCAAGCAGTTTGGATGCCGGGATTTTAAATCAAGGTCTTTAGTGTTCTCCCTGTCCCCCATCTCTCCTCCCCTTCCCTCGTCTTCCCACCGGTTTTGATTCTCTCCTTGGTTTCATTTTTTTCTACATAGGCAGCCTCTCTTTTCCTGTGCTGGGCAGAGCTGCCTCTGGGAACCCTCACCCCTTTCTTTCACACCCCGTAAACCAGATAATAAGGCCCTCTCTCTTCTAGCTCCAAACAAATAAACAGACAAAAACCAGAGAGAAAACTTGAGTGGTCAGATGGAGGTTTCTTGCCCACTTTTGGGAAAATCATCCCGGGGAAGGAAAAGAGGGTCTAATGTTTGCCTAGACCTGGACCATGCGCTCAGGCCTGTCTCCAAAGGGTTGGGCTCTGTGATTGGTAATAGTCTCACCAGAATTACATGCAGGAAAGTGGAGGAGGAGGTGAGGGTCCCAACCAATAGACAAAAACCCTAGGATATACGCTGACTCTCCAATCACGGCCATTCTTTACTAGTATTCCGGAGTCTTGGCCAATATAACCAGACGTGGAACGGAAGTGTGATATACATGTGTGTGTGTATAGATTTATAGAGAGAGAGAGAGAGAGAGAGAGAGAGAGGCCAAAGCATTACAATTGCAGTTACAATTACACACGATCCAAATTAAGCAAATGGGAAAGAAAGCCAATAGAATTCATAAGGACAAAGTTGCTACGGACAAGTTCTTCAACAGATAATTCCAGTCCTTTACATTGGTAATACCGTATATGAATATACTGGAGGCAGAAATCGCTTTCACAACAGCAACAAAGCCTCCTTGTCATGGGAAGCATCCTTTCTCACTCCCTAAGGGGGCTGTGCACAGTGACTTCCTTCCAAAGGGCACAGTCTGCAACAGTGGGGGCGGGGTGGGGGATTCGTCACTTTAAAGTGGAGAAAACTGGCAACGCTCCCTCAACCAGATGATCAAGGTCACTATCAAAATCATACGGAGAGCATGCACGTGTCTGAGTTCCCTATGGCTGCTGTGACAAGTTACCACAACCTTGATGGCTTGAAACCACAGAAGGTCATTCTTTCATAGTTCTGGAGGCACGTTGTCTCCAATCAAGGACTTAGCAGGATTGGTTCCCTCTTGGGGGCTCAGAGGGGGAATCTGTTCCATGCTTCTCTCCTAGCTCCTGGTGGCTGCCTGCAATCCGTGATATTCCTTCTTTTGTGGCCACATAATCCCAATCTCTGTCTCCACCACCACTTGGCATTCTCCCTGGGCGTCTACCTCTGTGTCCCTGTTTATATAAGGACACCACTCATTCTTTTTTTTAACTGTTTAATTTTAATTTTTTTTATTGTTTATTTTTGAGAGAGACAGACAGACAGACAGAGCGTGAGTGGGGGAGGGGCAGAGAGAGAGAGGGAGACACAGAATCCGAAGCAGGCTCCAGGCTCTGAGCGGTCAGCACAGAGCCTGACGTGGGGCTCGAACCCACGAACCGTGAGATCATGACCAAAGCCGAAGTCAGTTGCCTACCCAACTGAGCCACCCAGGCACCCCTATTTTATTTCTTTTTTAATGTTCATTTATTTTGTGTGTGAGAGAGGTGGGGGGAGGGGAAGAGAGAGGGAGAGAGAGAGAATCCCAAGTAGGCTCAGTACTGTCAGCCCAGAGCCCTGCGTGGGGCTCTGTCTCACAAACCGTGAGATCGTGACCTGAGCCAAAATCAAGAGTCAGATGCTTAACCGACCGAGCCAACCAGCTGCCCCCCAAAACGAATACCTTTCTGAAAAAGGAAAGCAATGGGGAAGAAAAGTAGATCTTGTCAATTGATAATTAGTTTAAAACAAGACACAGTTACGTTAAGACTAGATAACTTGGGGGCGCCTGGGTGGCACAGTCGGTTAAGCGTCCGACTTCAGCCAGGTCACGATCTCGCGCTCCGTGAGTTCGAGCCCCGCGTCGGGGTCTGGGCTGATGGCTCAGGGCCTGGAGCCTGTTTCCGGTTCTGTGTCTCCCTCTCTCTCTGCCCCTCCCCCGTTCATGCTCTGTCTCTCTCTGTCCCAAAAATAAATAAACGTTGAAAAATAAAAAATAAAAAAATAAAAAAAGAAGAAAGAATTATCCGTTCTTTGAAGGTTTGACGGCATTCATCTAGAAGACTGGCTGATGCCTTTTTTTTTTTTTTTTTTTAGGAGCTATATTTAGTTTGAAAATAAGAAGAAAAAAAAGGGGAAAGTTTCTGTTTCTTCTGAGGCTGCTGGTCTATTCAGATTTTCTACCTCTTCTTGAATCGATTTTGGCCAATGATAGACGTTTATAGGTTGTGGTTGTAACACATGACCACAGATTTACTTGGCTTGAAACAAGAAAATGTAGCCAGGGCCCAAGGGCGATGAGCACCTGACTCCAGGGGGGGGGTCACAACCGGACCCCGTTCGGCCACGCACCACTGACAAAATCCAAAGGCAGAGACGAGTGGAGGTGACACGAGAAACGGATAAAGCCAACACCAGGAAGACAGCAAAGTAGCTTCTCAAAGACGTCGCCAAAGTGCCAGGAAAAAGCTTCCAGGGTTACCCAAGGAAAGTGTGGGGCAAAGGTTGGCGGGTACCGGTGGGTGGGCAGTAATGATCGGGTCCATCAGTGTCTTGGAGCCAGCCCCCACCCTCCCCCCAGGGTCTCACTGGCTCAGGGCTGTCACTTAGCACTCGCTCGAGGGGGTAGTTTCGGTTTTCAGCACCGGATGCTTTGCCCGAAGGGTCTTTTGCCCGAGCTAGGAGATAAGCCGGAAGAGAAGAACTTAAATCAGTCACAAAGTTTGAGCTCAAAATGGAGGTAGTTGGAGTCTTTCAAAAACGTTAGTATTTTACCGAGGTCACAAGTCTGCAATGGGTTTTGTGGGGATAAGATCACGATGTGAGCAGGGCTGCGATCCTGCTGGGGGTTCTGGGGGGGGGGGGGGGGCCATTTTCTCACCTTTTCTCGCATCTAAAGGCTGCCTTGGCTCGTGGCTCTTTCCTCCATCTTCGAAGTCCATGGCTCTAACCTCTGCTTCATCGTATCTCCTTGTTCTGACCTTGACCCGCTTGCTCTCCTCTTGTAGGGACCTTGGAGGTTATACTGGGCCTACTTGATAATATTTGCATGCACGATCCTTAAATGAATCACATCTGCAAAGTCCCTTTGCCACGCAAAAGGGAACGCTCAGAGGTTCTGGGGGTTAGAGTATAGACGTCGTTGGGGGGCCATTATTCTGCATACCATACTCGCTGGGTTCTCAGCACGTGCCTGGCTTTCCGGTATTCTTTATTCTGAAGAACTCTTCATTATAGAGTGGGTGATTTCTCAAGTAGCCGCTTTTTAGAAAAGCTATGCAATATGAGTCAGAGCATGAACGGGGGAGGGGCAGAGAGAGAGGGAGACACAGAATCGGAAACAGGCTCCAGGCTCCGAGCCATCAGCCCAGAGCCTGACGCGGGGCTCAAACTCATGGACCGCGAGATCGTGACCTGGCTGAAGTCAGACGCTTAACCGACTGCGCCACCCAGGTGCCGCAGGAAAAAGCTTTTTTAAAATTGCAATGTTGTGGGGCGTCTGGGTGGCTCAGCCGGTTAAGCATCCGACTTCGGCTCAGGTTGTGATCTTGCGGTCCGTGAGTTCAAGCCCCGCTTCGGGCTCTGTGCTGACAGCTCGGAGCCTGCTTTGGATTCTGCGTCTCCCTCTCTCTCTGCCCTCCCCCACCCATGCTCTGTCTCTCTCTGTCTCAAAAATAAATAAATGTTAAAAAAATTTTTTAATTGCGATGTTGTACTTTATAATAAGAAATGTATACTGTGTTTGGTGTTCATTCCGTTTCTGGCCCAGAGCCCCTAAAACCATTGGAATTCCCTAAGTGATAGGAGAAATCGAGAAGTCTTTTTTTGGTGACTTTTGGACGTCACCTAAGGGTGAGAGCTGTTTGCCACTTGAGCCAACTATGTGATTAGAGGCTTTTGGTTTTACCCCCAACCTACAAGGAGGGGAGAGGGGGTTGGAGGTCGAGTTCGACTG